ATTAATTGTTATTCTCCCTCTTCGCTCACTTCTCCCTTCCCCCCTACTTAGTAGTTTAAAGTCCTATTAACCACCCTATTTACCCTTTCCGCCAGAACACTGGACCCGGCCCTGTTCAGGTGGAGTCCATCCCAGTGGTATAGATTCCTCCTGTCCCAGAACTGATGCCAGTGCCCCATGAAAAGGAAACCCTCTTTCCCACACCACTCTTTTAGCCACGTGTTTGCTTCCCTGATCCTCGCCTCTCTATGCCAATTTACACGTGGCTCGGGCAGCAATCCAGAGATTATGACTCTTGAAGACCTGTTTTTTAATTTTGTTCCTAGCTTTTCATAATCCCAAAACAGGTCCTTTTTTCCTAGTCCTGCCTATGTTGTTGGTACCTACATAGACGACAACAATTGGATCCTCCCCCTCCCTCTCTAGTATCCTCTCAAGCCAGTCAGAGATGTCTCGCACCCTGGCACCGGGCAGGCAACACACCATGCGGGCTTTTCTATCCTGCTCGCAAAGGATACTGTCTATCCCCCTGATGATGGAATCCCCGACAACTACAATCTGTCTTTTTGCTACCCCCTCTTGAATGGCCTCCTGGACCATGGTGCCATGGTCAGTTGACTCATCCTTCCTGCAGCCCTGTTCCTCATCCACGCAGGGAGCAAGTGCCTCATACCTGTGGGACAATGTCAAGGGCTGCGGCTCCTGTGTTCCTGTCTGCAAGGTCCCTCTACCTGCCTCACTTGCAGTCACACACTGCTGTCCCTGCCCGCCGATCGAATTAACATTAGTTAATCTACCAGGTGTGACTGCCTCCTGGACCACAGCATCCAGGTATTTCTCCCCCTCCTGGATGTGCCTCAGTGTTTGGATTTCGGTTTCCAGCTCATCAATTTTGAGCTGGAGCTCCTGAAGCAGCCAACACTTGCTGCAGATGTGGTCTCTGCCGTTCTCAATGGGATCAGCTAGCTCCCACATCATACAGCTACAACACATCACCTGGCCTGCCATCTCTACTTAGTTAATTATTTAAAATTAATTAGTTTTTTTTTTAGTTTCGCAGTGTTCTCTGCACCAGTAAGTTTACTCTGTTATATACTCAAACAGACTCCAGCTTTGCCTTCCGACCCGCTCCCAGAGGATTTGGCGTCTAGGTGACCACCCCAAAAGATAACAAAGAGATGAGGAAAAATGTGCAAATAGCTCACCTGCTCACCACACTTAGTCGTTATTATTAGGTTAGAGGAGGCGGTAGGGTGGGAGACACTACGCATGTAGTGTCTCGGGAATTAGTTAATTCCCAAATTTAATGGGTGGAAGCTTACCTTCCCAGGCTGCCCTCGTGCTTTCTCCCGGACTCCCGCCGCTGAAACAACTGAAGTGCTCTTCCCCGACAGCATCTGTTCCCATTTTATGTTACCCAGTTCTTGCCTAACAGAATTATAATTACCCTTCCCCCTATCTATGCCCTTCATGATTTTATAAACTTCAATAAGGTCACCCCTCAACCTCCAAGGCTCCAGGGAAAATAGCCCCATCCTATTCAGCCTCTCCTTATATCTCAAACCCTCCAACCCTCACAACATCCTTATTAATCTTTTCTAAACCCTCTCAAGTTTCACAATATCCTTCCTGTAGCAGGGAGACCAGAATTGAACCCAGTATTCCAAAAATGGCTTAACTAATGTCCTGTACAGCCACAACATGACCTCCCAACTTCTTTACTCAATGCACTGACCAATAAAAGTAAGCATATCAAACATCTTCTTCACTATCCTGTCTATCTGGGACTCCACTTTCCATGATCTTTAAACCTGTACTCCAAGGTCTCTTTGTTCAGCAACACTCCCCAGGACCTTACCATTAAGTGTGTAAGTCCTGCCCTGATCTGCCTTTCCAAAATGCAGCATCTCACATTTATCTAAATTAAACTCAATCTGCCATTCCTTAGCTTCCTGCAGCCCTTGACATTGTCCCACAAGTATGAGGCACTTGCTCCCTGTGCAGATGAGGAACAGGGCTGCAGGAAGGATGAGTCAACTGACCATGGCACCATAGTCCAGGAGGACATTCAAGAGGGGGTAGCAAAAAGACAGATTGTAGTTGTAGGGGATTCCATCATCAGGGGGATCCTTTGCGAGCAGGATAGAGAATCCCGCATGGTGTGTTGCCTGCCCGGTGCCAGGGTGCGAGTATTGTCCCTAGTATTGTCCAGGCTGAGCAGGTTGAACCCGAACAGAGCTTGGACTGTATTTCTTGAAGGGAAATTAGCTGTTTTGTTGGGAGAGTCTAAACTAATTCAGCATGGGTATGAGAAACACAAGAAATTAATAGAAAGTAATATACAAAATGCAGGGAGAGGCAAATAATGCTTAAACAGAGAATAGTAAGTTAACAGGTGGAGTCAGAAGAGGAGAAAAAGTAATGAACTCTCTTTCAGGGTTTCACATATTACATGTAATGCGTAGAGCAGTTAATAAGATTGATGACTTAGAGGCATAGATTGCCTTGTAGGATTATGGCAACATTGTAATAATGGAGATCTGTTTTAAGGAAAAGCAGATTATTCTTGGTTACAAGGTTTTCAGTAAACGTAGGCAAGGAAAAAAGATAAAAGTGGCATTTTTGGTTAAGAAGACCGATGCAGTACCAGAAGAACAGCATGTTTCATTCGATAGAATAGAATCGATTTGACTAGAGCCAAGGATTAAGAAATTACATGACTCACTGTAAAAGACAGATCATCAATTATTGGGAAGGACATAGAGAAACAAATCTGCAAAGAAATTACGTAGACGTGTAAACTTTACTTATCTATATATCAGCTGGGTTGGTGGTAACGTAAGGGGTAGCAAGGGATAAGCATCTTAGATTGCGTTCAGGAGAATGTCCCATAGCAGTGTATGACCTATCCAATAAAGCAGGCACTGCTAGACCTGGTTTTCAGCTGTGAGGCTGGCCAAATATATCAAAGAACATTGGGGGACTATTTAGGGGAGAGTGATCATTGTATCACAAGGTTAAGATGATTGTAGAAAGTGATATAAAAACAGAAAATGTTTAAGAAATGCAGCAGATCAGGCAGCATGCGTGGAAAAAGCACAGTTAACATTTCAAATCTGATATGACTCTTCTTAAGAGGCTGCGTTTCTCCAGCATTTTCTGATGATTTCAGATTTCCAGCATCCACAATATTTTGTTTTTATGACAGTGTAAAAAATGACATTCGTCAATCCAGAGCATGACTAATCAATATTGTGGAAAGCTGTCTCAATGGGGTAAGAACAAAGGTGGGTTGGTTACACTGGAACCAAATGTTGGCAGCAAATACAGTGGCTGAACAATGGGCTGTGTTCAAAATGCAGATGATCTGAACAAAGAGAAGGTATACTCTCTAAAAAAGGTAAGGTCAAATAAATCCAGAGGTTCCTGCATGGAAATAGAAATCAATTTAAAGGGGAAAAAGTGTGCTTTGATAGGTGTCAGGAAGTAAATACTTTTACTGTAGCAGTACCAACCTGTCTATGAAAGATTCTGAAGGGAGCAGAAAGGCAAACAAGGATTATGAAAAAAATGACTGACATTTAACATAAAAGAAAATCACAAAGTCTTCTATAAGCAAATTAATATTTGATGGGTGATAAAATGAGGAGTAGGGTTTATTAAGGACTAAAGAGGGGAGTTACACAGAGACCAGAAATATAGCTGAGGAATTAAATGAATACCTTGCATCTGTCTTTACCTATGAAGCAGATGATGTCCAGGCCATAGTGACCAAGGAGGAAATTCAGTTACTAGAAGGGTTTAAAATTGATAAAATCGGATAAGCAATCAGCACTTAAAGTTGATAAGGCATTAGAACTGGATGAAATGCATCCCAGGTTATTTAAGGGAGAGAGGAAATTGCAGAGGCACTGACATTTATCTTTTGATCTTTATCTTTCCTGGATTCACCAGTGGTGCCAGATGATGGCAGAATTGCGAACATTATTCCCTGGTGCAAACATGGTTGTAAACATTGGTCTGTAATTGCTTGGCCTGTCAGTTTTATTTAAGTGGTGGACAAACATCCAGAAACAATTATTCAGCACAGAATTAAGAGGCATTTGGAAAAACATGGATTGACTTGGATTAACCAGCAATGACAGTAAGTTAAAATACTCAGAATGCCAGCACAGACTTGCTAAACTCCCATCTACATTGTAACAATGCTTTGATTCTGGTTTGCCAGTAGTTAGGTTGGATACAAATGTTGGTTCGATAGCAAAAATCTCACAATTTACCATCAGTCCTGATGGACACAGACTACTGAATCAGGAAGTCATACATTTAAGCCCTCCATCCAGTGTCTCAAAACACATATAAATGTACAAAATTAGAGAGAAATTGCTGCATCCACCAGATAGGATTAGGGTAACAAAGAGACCCTATCAGGTCTCCCAAGTGTTACATCCGAAAGAAAGGGCAGTGAAAGATGAGCCTGCAGTTATACAGGCACCATTGTGAGAATAAGGATCCCTGACTAGTTCTGGAGGCAATGTGAGAATGTACTAACTGGAAAAGTTCTTACAGCACTTCTAATATTCTTCTGAACCGGTGTTCGAAACGGACATCTCCATTTCATATACATAATGGACATATCTCAGTTTCTCCTATTTCATGATAACTTAGTAAAACTATTATTAAAACGTATAACTGGATTAACTATTTAAAAAACTGATTTATTTCATCACCTTTCACCACAGCTACAAACGCATGCGCACTGGCCGATTGCGCTTAATGACCGTTAATTGGAACGCCACGCGGCGGGAAGGGAGGCGTGTTGAATGGACAGGGCGGGAAGGGTGGCGCGTGATTGGACAGGGCGGGAGGGGTGGCGCGTGATTGGACAGGGCGGGAGGTGTGGCGCGTCATTGGACAGGGCGGGAGGAGCGACGCGTAATTGGACAGGGCAGGGGAAAGAGGCGCGTGATTGGTGCTCGCGCAGCCTGTCCGCACCGTGGCGCCATATTTACTTTTGAATGAGGGCTGCGGAAAGTGTTTGTAAACGGTGGCTGTGGGATGAGAGGAGAGATCAAAGTGTTTCGTTACCGTTAATGCTATCGAGAATGGTTGGGAAATCATTTCGCTAAGGATCGTGGCAACGTTGCTGGCGATCGAATCGGTGCAGACAAGCAGCAGAGAGTCCGGAAGAAAGTCCTTGGGGTAAGGGGCGGTGGCTGCCGCTGCCGCTGCCGCTGGTAATCCTTTGGGGTCCTTTCATTAAAGGAGACGGGGCAAACTGGTTGTATTTTGAGGTTGTTCTTGTTTCTGTCACCGTGAAGACGCATTGTACATAATTCTACCTTGCTAGCAAGTGCTAGGTTTGCTTGTTGTGATGAACATCCCTTGTGAGATTGAGCTAGAATTTCGCAGCTAACTAAGATGAAGTTCACAGATTTAAACGAATCAGAAGTTTGAGCTGCAGTGTCAGCATGTGACGACCTTTCAGACCTGTCAAGTCGCACTCATTTAGAATGGAACGTGGTTTTAGTTGGAAAACGTGCTTCCTTTATTTCTGACTCCTTTTGAAAAGTAAGTTTTTGTACACACTTGGAAATGTTGGTGCTGCTGTAAATCAGAAATCAATCCCTGCCAGTTAACTAAAAATTACCTGTGTTGTTTTTTGATGTTGCATGATATACTCAGGTGGCTCTGCCCAATACCATTACCTGTATAGACTGACTAGGGTCAGTACTTCACATTTCAAAACATATCTGAGAGTAAAATTTTGTTTTGGATGAGGTGATTATACTACAGCTTTCTTCTTAATTTTCATTCACTGAATGAAATCCAAGTGATTAAAAATGATTTAGAATTTGGAGTGGGTATAGTGATTTGTCAGTCAGCTTTTTCATTTGAGTTTTAAAGTCTTTAAAGCCCTAGCTGTGAATTCTCGCCCCACCTAGTTTAAATTTTAATCTTTGACATACTTGAAGAAACACTGCAAATCTTAGTGTTGTGAATCAGGAAAATTTTTGAGAAAAGAATCCCTTAAAATTCTCTTTTTTTTTGATTAGCCAATTTGAGTTGTGGATTTGTTATGATAATAACCAATTGAATTACAGAATTGGAAAAAAATGTTGTCTAAATGTCTCAAAGTTTTAAATTGTTACACTTCAGTGTAATGTGTGGAAAACATAAAGATTGATTTTAAATGTATGAGAAATTGTTTGAGTTATGTAAGGAAGCTGAAAATCAGATTAAACTCTTTATTACAGTTTCCATTGGCATGTGGCCAGCTAGGTACTATGCAACTGTTGTGAATACTCTATGGATTTCCATTGTTTGGGCTGGGTTATATTCAAAAAAAAATCTTGCATTCTGCCTTCTGACCCACTAAGTATGCAAAAGAACTTGAACTTTCTATCCTGTAGCCTTAATGGTAGGGGCACTAATTTGAGATCCTGATGTTCGAGTTGGACTTTGTATTTTTGTTTGGATGCCATACTGCATATGTGCTTGTTCTGAATTTTCTTGCATTTTTCTAAAAAATTGAGTGACGTCTTCCTTTTGTTTTGCAAAGATTTAAATTGTTGGCAATGTTACGGCTTGATGCTGGGAAATGCTTTCATGCCCTAGCATTGGTTGCATTGCTAAAGTAATTCATTAGGTCCAAACTCTATCTTTTCATTCTTTTAAAAATGAAAAATAGAAGGACATTAATTTGACTGGGACAAAGTTACAGTACTAGGACATGCAAGACAAAGACAACCATGACGGTTCCTGGGGGGCCTGGTTTTCAACCACCCATGCAATTAACAAACATGGTGAAATAGACCCCCATCTACATATCACAACAGTATGAAACCAGAAACAAGACGGCCCATCATGACAGACCGGACCATATAAATTTTGAGCAGGACAGAACAACAGCACTTCAACGGAGGCTACGCTGCACTGATGATGTCACCTAGAAGGGAGATGAAACGTTTGCATCAAAACCAGTCAGCTTGGCAAACAAACCAACAATTACAAAACTTGCAATTTGAAATAAATGAAAATGGAGAATAACAACCTTTTTAAAGTTGAATTAAAAAAAGATTGTTGCTAACATCATTTGTATATGTTGGTCGCAAATATGAGCACAGCTGATTTGGACAGATTTATTTCAGTAAACAAGCTATGTATCTGCTATGTAACTACTACTTTTGGAGGAAGTGTTTTTCAGTGGACTATGATTTATGTCTAACTTGAGGTACAGCCTATAGCTAACTTAAAGGTCTTACATTTTAATGAGTTAGCTTGCTTATTGAATGTTGTCTCAAGTTTTTGTACTGCAAACTCTGCTTCTGTTTTAAATTTTAGGTTGTGGCTCAGAGTAAGGTTTCATTTCCCGGCGTCTCTTGCCTTCTGACCTTTTTGTGGATAAAAGATTAAATAATGTCATCTTTTAATACCTGCCTGGGCAGTTGCCACTTTAACTCAATCTTTTTGATGTCATTAATTTTGACAATGTAGCCATACTTTTACTAATGCAGTGAATTGCCAATCATGGTTTGAGCGCACAATTTTCTGACTGGTGTAACTGAGCAAAGGTTGGCTTACATCGATTTGTAAGGAGCAAGTTATTGTTGAACTCACCCATTCTATCTTAAGTAATGCCATACATGTATGTTCAAAAAATTTTGAAAGAATTTTAACAAATTGAGCTCAATGGTATAGAATGTAATATCTAATTTAGACAGGAGTGATTAGGGAATAGAAAATAGATGCAAGTGTGCCATATGATCTTGAGTGGGAATGGAGTGCCCAGTTGTCTGTCTGGCTTTCTAATGATGCCGAAGCCTGTTGATTGTATACAGAGAACAGCAATCTGTAGTGAAACGTCAGATTAATGAAAAGCATGGACAAGTGAGTAGTAGATGCACTTCTTTTGAAAGAAATGTGAACTATTACATGTTGAGGGCCAGACACAGTAAGAAATTAAGGTTAAGAATAGAAACACAATGACCTATGGTCCAGTTAGTATTGAGTGCACAAATGTTACTTTAAACGATTACTGAGATATTGAGCTAAGCAAGAAAATTATGAAATGTATGTTTGAGTATATTAAATAGAACAGTTATTGGAGTCATAGCTTGCAGAGAAGGTGCACTACATCAGAAAAGCTTGTCAGCAGTCTCTCAACAGTATCATGTTTGTGTCAGAGTCAGAAAGTTGTGGATTTTGGGCATATTAAGATATTTGAGCACACAATTTTTTGGTCAATTCTCCAGTTCCTACTTCAAGGACTGTAACTCTTTTCCCCGCTGCCACTTGCCCCACCCCCCCAACCTTTTGATTCATAATGCCCTCAACCACATCTCTTGCATTTCCTGCACTTCTGCCCTCAAACCCCATTCTTTTTCCCCTCCCCCCAACTACTCCAACAAAAATAAGCACAGAGTTCCCCCAGTCCTTGCATACCACCCCACCAAACCTCCGCATCCAGCACATCATCCTCCGCCACTTTTGCCACCTGCAATCCAACCCCACCATCCGAGATATTCCCCTCCCTGCCACTATCTGCCTTCTGTAGTGACAGTTTTGCAGAGCATCTGCACTCTGTACACTATAATCAACAGCACCTTCTGGTTGTGAACCACTAACTCCTCCTCCCACTCCCTTAGTGACATGTCCATCCTGGGCCTCCTCTAGTGTCAAGCTGATGCCAAACCTAAACTGGAGGAACAACACCTCATATTCCACCTTGGGAGCTTACAGCCTGATGGCCTCAACATAGAATTCACCAGTTTCAAAATCTCCCCAGCCTTAGCCTCATCCCATGTCCAACCTTTCCCCTCATCCCCACCTCTTTGATTTGACACAACCTGTCCATCTCACCTCAAACCTATCTCCACACCCTGTACCTGCATCCA